ATCTATAGGCTTACTCTTTACTTCCTAAATATCCGTAGACTACTCGCATAGTAGGTCTAAAAGTAGCTTATAGCTCTTAACTATCTTTCTTAAGTGGGTGCCTTAAATCTTAAGCTTATTAGCGATAAATATATAGATATCCCTATATAGAATAGTAAGGATAATACCGTAGAGCTTAGAGTCCTCGATAAAAGTACCTTAGACCCGCTCTGCCTTAGCCTTCTAGATAGTGATTTACTATAGTAAGTCCCTAACCTAATAAACGCTATTAATCTTATACGTCTTATATTTTACCCGAAGCTAATAAATCTTATAAGAGAAGTTAAGTTAGTAGTTAGGATCTAGATAAGAGTACTCTTTAATAAGCTTCTCGACTAGATTAGACTAACTGCCTTTAGCGGCTTAAACCTCTTTAATTAGGCGTTCGACGGCGGGACGAATAGCCGTGTCTATATATAGGTTAACGTAGGCGATTTTATCGGCTTTACTAAGGCGGTTAAGCTTAGTATAGTTATTATACTATTAAAGAAACGTGGAGAGGGACTTACTACTAAAGTAGGGAGCTTTAATAGCCAGGGGATTTAGGGGTACTCTCGACGTAGTGGTAGTAGGGGGTAGGGCTCTAATAACCTCGGCGATAGTACTCTCTCGGTCACGGCTTATCAGGGCTTATAGTAGCTTAATTAGGTCTTTAGCGGTAGTAGGGGGCTATTAATGCTTAGGGGCGGTAGTAGTTGGAGCGTTTAAAGCGGGCTAGGTAGTAAAAATAGGGTGGGCAGGGGTAGTAGTCGATTTATAGGCAGGGGCAGATCTAAAGGCTAATCCGAGGGTAGTATTAGGGGTAATTATCGAAATAGTAGTCGGAGCTACGGTAAACGTAGTAGTCGGCCTAGAAGCGGGCGGAGGTAAGGCCGTAGCCCCGATATCGTGGTTCCCCTAATTAGGGCTAGTAGAAGTAGCGGGCGTAAGGATAGGGGGAATAGCCGGCGAGGGAGCCTTATTATCGGAGTCGCTAACGATAATAATAGGGGTAGGCTCGCGATACTAATTCTAAGTATCTATAGTATTTTAGGTATAAGTGCGAGGGGGTAGGCGAATAATAATAATAGGGTTAGGGCGTTTAGGGTAAGGTTCTTCGAATTAATCGTTTAGTAAGAAGATCCTATAAGTATTCTAGATACTAGCCAGGTTATTATATATATTATCTCGCCTTAATAGGAGTAATAAAGTCTTTAACAAGAGGGTAATAGTAGTCTTAGATTTTATTCTATAATATTTATCTTCGGGGTCTAGCTTTTCTAACTCACCTTAAAGGAAAAGGCCCCCTATAATTAGGAGATTCCCTATTAGTAAAAGGGCTATACTCACGGATATTAATATTAAAAGTATTATACGCTAAGTCTTACGAAGAAGTATTATAACTTACTTATAGGGTCCGTAAAGGTCTTTACTAGACTATCGGGTCCTCTTATAAGGTATCGTTATTTCGCTCCTATGCTTGGTATTAGCTTTTTATTAGGTCTGCTAGGGTTTAGTTACCCTAATCCGGGTAAGCTACTCTCGGCGGTCTTATCTTTTCTTCGCCGTCGTGCGAGAATCTATTTTAATTAATAATAGGGGTTATAAGCCCCTTATCGAGTCTATTCTATATCCGGAATCTAACTCTATCGCGATCTAATTGGTTTCTTCCGTTCCTATAATTACCACCTCCGTAGCGGCGGGTCTTATAATTAAAAGTGTTAATAGTTCTTTAACTCTTACCTAAGTAGTTATTTCTTTTCCTGATCTTATTAGGGTAAATCTCCCCTCGGTCTTAAAGCGTTAAATCCTTCCTTAGTCGTTATCTTTATATTCTTCCTAGGGTTATTAATTAATAGTCCGTTTAGGAGGGCCGTAACCTCCCTTAAGCGCCTCTATTACTCTAATTAGGGTTAGAACACTTTAGGGACGCCGAATAAATCCGCCTCCGAGCACTATATTATAACTGGATAAAGACATAGTAGCACTAGATCGTTAAGATAAAGATTAGATAAAGAGCTTAGTCTAGCGAAACCACAATATATAACTAAAATATAACTAACACCGCTATAACCTTTAGCGAAGAAATAGATCGGTAATCACTATTCTAATTAGGGCAACGTAAGTTAAACTAGAAAGATACCTTAAACGTAGAATAAGTAATTACAAAAGAGGATAATAATTATATTATAATCCCTCGATAGGGATATCCCGAGTCTGTCCTTAATATATATATAGGTAGCGGATCCAGCGGTCTTAAAAGAGGGGTTATATAACCGTCTACCGAACCACTCCAACGCCGTATCTGCGCGGTTATAGAAGCTATTTAGTAATCGATTCGTCTTATCGATTAACGGTAATTAAAGTCTTTAGGTAAACCGTTTACTTATAGTGGTATAGTAGTCGTAACTAGTATTAATAAGGGTAAGGATACGCCGTTTATTTACTCTAGCTATAATAAGTATAGGGTCGTTATTAGTATATACTTCAAACGTTTCCTACTCCTACCGTATCACGGCTATCGGCTTTAACGCCCGTTTTTATATTAGAGCTATTCTTTTTCCGAGTCGTTATCGTTAGTTGACTCGTTATCGCTCTTATTATAATCCTTTATATAAGACTCTTTAACCTTTCGAACTATTTTTTAGTTTTCCTTTAGTTTCTCATAATTCCGTGTAATATACCCTTTCTTATTATAGTTATAGTATATTCGAGTCTCCTACTTCGTTTTCCCGTCGCTAACGCGGTTTACTCTACCTATCTTTATATCGCTATTAATATCCTTCTTCGTAGTCGCGTACTCTTAAGCTTACTTATCGTAATTCCGCTTAAATTAATAACCCTTAAGCTTCCCGGCGATCTCTTATATACCGTTAACCTACGCGGTATAGTTATCGGTGGGAATACGGGCTAAAATAAGCTTATCCCTAAGTTAAGAGGTGATCGCTCCCTTAAGGAATAAGATCTATACGGTAGCTTCCCACTCGGTACCGTCTATAAGGGCGATCTATCTTTTAAAATAGGGTAAGAAGGTAGTAAACGACTTATCGGACTGTTATTAAATTATATATAGGGCTTAAGCGGCTTACGACTATTCTATAGGGTTAAGGTAAGTATAATTAAGGTACGCTATAAAGTTATTAGGGTCTATAAGCTTACTTAGCCTATCGCTTTTATAAAAGGCCGATACTACCTATTATACCTCGGGTCCTAAGTAATTATAGATAGTATACTAGGCTTATATATTATTCTAGAATAGGTCGCTATTAATTATAAGCTTCTACCGTATCGCGTAGGCCTACGCGCTATAGTATTCCCTCTTCCCTAAAAACTTCGCCGGGCTATCGATGGTCTTACGGGGTGCTACTATTATTATTATTAGCTAAAGCGCCGGTAAAGGGACCGGAGATAGCGTGGATTCTACTAGCGTAAGAATTATCAGGGTCTATAAGAGGGCCGGAATATTTAGGTTTAGCGGTATTAGGTTTTACGGAGTAGGCGATCCTAGAAGCTAGGCTATAAGCTATTCGACTAATAGGCGTTATCGCTTATCGGCTTTTTCCCTCGCGCGTTATTATTTAATAAACTAATATATCTCCGAGTAATACTCTTATATCGGGGTAAGCCTAGCGTTAATATCGGTGTATTACTCGTGGAGAGGGCCTAGCCTTATATTTAAGGCTTAGTCGTTTTCTTCGAAGCGTCGACTTATCCACTCCACGACCTATTTAATTCTAATAGGTTACTAGGCGGTAGTATTCGGATCTTAGTCTATTATTAGCGTAGCGCGTGGGTATCGCTAAGTTCTAGATATATTAACGACTAGTTATAGGTCGTGGTATAAGTAAGGTCGTAATAATAGATTATCTAGAACTAAAGAAGGAAGAAGAAAAAGGAGAAAAGTCTATAGCGCTAGGCTAGCTATAAGGTGGCGATGGCTAGGCGATATAGGTCTATTAACTAAGCGCGTAGCTAGGAAGATCCAGAGTATAGCCAGATCCTCTATATCGGGGCTAACCCGTAATAGAAGAAGATCTTAAAGCTGTAGAAAAGAAGAAGATCCTAATCGTAGAGTTATATAGCAGAATAACCGTACCGCCTACTATATAACCTACCTATCTACCTACCTATTACTCCTGCCTTCTGCCCCCTTACCCCTGCCTTCTCACGATAGCTTCGTGAAGACGTAGAACTTCTATAGACTAATAAAATCACTTTAAAGTGAAATTCCCGTACTTCCTATTAGTTGATAATTAAGGCCTGCTATATATTAAAAGATAGAACGGATACTGAGGATAAGAGGGCTTTTCCAAGGATAACTAGTGGTTCCAAGGACAACTCTTTTCCTTATTTACCCACTAAGGTAGGTAGGTAGTGGACCCACTATATCAGGGGTCTTCTTTGGCACTGCGGTCTCCAGAGTACACGAGGTCTTCTCGATTATACTGTAATTACAGAGTACCTTACCTACCTACCTATATACCTAAGGTAGGTAAGAATAAACCTGACGTCCGTTCTAGAACCGTTAATTTCGCGAATCAACCGTTGTGCTGCCAAGTTAAATAACGTACATTGTATCCGTCAGAACCCCAGGCAAGCGACCGTAAAGCCGGCTTTCAGACAAGTCCGCCAACTCACAAGCAAAACGTACCCTTGTCGAACGGGTTTTGTTCCAAGCCTCTTTCTCCATCCTGCAGCCATTTAACTAACTTTTCCCCATGTCATTCCTTTGCCCATCCTAATGTCTTCTCAATCTGTAGCCCGGGCGAAAACTAAACTAGACCTCTTCCCCTCTTCCCTTTGGAATAAGAACTACCTAAGGTAGCTACCGCTTCTCCTCTTCATTCCGCGGGGCAAGCTCTCTGGTGGGGAGGTCCGACTACGACACCGCTGTTCCGTCAACTCTAGGCGCCGCTAGGTACAACGTACACTGGGATCCTGGTCCCAGACGCCCGGGTGGCGAAAATCAGTGGGTCGATATCGTCCCGGCTTATGTCCGAATATGTATCCTCTGTTTTTTTTGTTTACGCTCGAGCCCGAGTACCTAACTGGCTACGCGTACCTGTATGCTTGGATCATGCCCGATGCGTGGCATCGCTCCAGAGCCATGAACCGGGTCCGTGGGCGGTGAATCGTACATAACGGCCATGTATGGGAAATGAGCATCTCTTCCACACACACACTCCTCTCTCTGTTCTTCCTTATCTCTATTGCATGATATTTTCTCATACATGTAACCCAAGCTGTCCTAAACGCCTACTACGCTAGTCCCTTAACGTTCCCAAGGGTCATGTCATCCATTCGTAAAAACGTGCCCCTTGAATCGGCTAGACTTCATCGTGTCATAAACCCGGTATTCCCGTCATGAGCCATGTGCATTCGTGATTTAGTCGCGAGCCACCGCCCTTACACTTACTACCCGTGCTTGATTTCGACCATGGTACAGTTACAGCACCGTCTATGCTTGCATCCGTCCGTAGACACGCAAAGAGAGTCGAATTCCGCGTTGTATTCCATCGAGCAATGGCACTGTTTATCCCCCAATGTAAGCACGAATCGCTGCCCCAGTAGTGTGGTTGCGGTTGGGAACTCACGCAGGTCCACATCAGATTCCCTTCTCTCCTCGTCCGTTTCGGTTGGAACTCCTCTGCCCCCTCATCGTCATGGGGCTTTCGCTTCCCGGGGGTTTTCGGGTAAGACTGGGGCAACTCCTCTTCTGCCTGGACTGGGGTGGCGTCACCATAACTCCTCTCCACTGGCCTCATAAGAGGCGGGCTGAGGAGAGCTACATCGAGCGCGTCCATATCGGGTTCAATGCTCTTCCACTCTGCCATCGTCTTCTTGGCCAAGTCGTTCCGCCCGGAGATGTGGTCGTCGATGTGGTTGAAGCGTTCAGCCCAAGAATGCAGCCCTTGCTGGTTGGTGTCCACCATCTGAGAGCAGAAACCGCACCAGAACCTCGGTTCCCCATTCTGGTCCACGCGGCATTCGTCGAGTTCCTTTTCCGCCAGGGGTCCTCCCGCTGCCGCGCAGTGAGACGTCTGCAGGTGCTGCCTCAACAGCGCGCGGCGGGGGAAGACCTTGCCGCACCGTGTGTCGGGGGACGTTGCGGACTGTTCATTGCATCCCCACACTTCGTGTTGATAATGCTGACTGTTCTCATGCCGCTTCCAGTCGTTTTTACTCCCGAACTTCTTGTGGCAGTTGGGAAATGTGCAGCCGTATGGCTTATCGTGCCTCCTCTGGTGTTTCCTGTGGTTTCACACTCGAGTGTTGGAGGAATCAATAGTAGCAGGGGAACCGTAGGGGAATCGTAGGGGAATCGAGGGACAAGTCTTACCTGAGCTCACACTGCCGCGCAAAGGTTTTGTGACAGGTAGAGCATGTGGGTAGCGAGGCTTTAGCCGGTGCGGTTGAGGCGGGTGAATCCCTGACAGGATGTGCTCCGGATTCTTGCACGAATTTCTCAAGCAAGCGTTTGGGAACCTTCTGCAACAAGGCCCACAGTGCTCGATCGTCCATGTCCATCTCGCTGGGCGTCTCTGTTCCTGCCCTTCTTGTCGTAGCAGGGGGTGCTGGGTTCGAGAGAGTGGTGCATCGTTCGAACACGGCCGAACCTGAATTCTCTTGGTCTACAGGGTCGCATTGATTGGAGCCAGCAGGCGACTGATGCTGGGAATCGTCATCTTGGCTTTCGTCGTCACCTTCCGTTGTTTCGACGTTTTCCTTTTCTTTCGGTTCCGAAATGAACATGTGGCCACTGGTTATTCCATCGCCTTCACCCCCATACTGGCTCGATGTATAGCACTCAGCTGCTCGCGCCGAAACCACATAGCCAGTCCCGGGGGCGCGAGGTGGTGATGAGCCAAAAGACGCACACAAAGCCATGTCTGGAAGCTCGGAGACTGGGCCAGAAACAGACTGGGGTTTATCCTGATTGACATACACAGGTCGAGATATGTCCGAGACCGTGACCGTCGGCGCCAATTGAGGAGGTTGTGAGTCGGCCCATGGGCCGGCTTCCTGAGACGAAACATGTGACATAGCAAGGTTCTGTGACCTGGGATCAAGAGAAAGTGTGGGGTTCAAAAGTGTAGTGGACTCAAGATAGCTCGACTCCATGGCGGAACCAACGCCCTCGAGGTTGGATTGGTTAAGGGGCAGCACGATGGGAGTACAGGAGGCAGATCTGAGGAATGTTTAGATATAATGATCGAGGGGGGGGGGGGGGGGGGGGGGGGAGGGGGGGGGGGGGGGGGGGGGGGGGGGGGGGAGGGCGCAAAAGGGGCGGGGAAGGCGAGGTAAAGAAAGACTTACGGAACAACAAATCCAATCAGATCCTCATCTGGACTCAGAACTATGGCGTGAACACGTTTGAGATGAGAGCGAAAGTTATCAGCTCTCGGCCAGAGCTTATCTTTGTTTTGACATTGATCAAGGTGGCAACGATATCGTGGGCCTGCGGTGGCCAAGTCGGGATGCAGGCTTCGCTTGTGGCGATCCAAGTCATTCAACGTGCTGAAGCCCTCCTGGCGAGGGCAGCCTGGAACGTCGCACTTGTGCGGCTTGCTGTGTCGTTGGTGATGTTTTCTGGGAATGATGTTAGTTAACGAGACCACACACACGATCTTCGACCCAGCTCGAACTGGAAAAGAGGCCCCATACGCGAGTTGAGACTTGGTTTTGACCGTTTTCCGACACACAAGACAAATGAGCTCATTGCGGGGAGCAACGCTTTGACAATCTAGGCCGGCTGAGCCTGCAGGGTGAGGCCAACTGTTGGCGTGCAAGTTCATGTTCATGTCACGGGACAAGGAGTCCGAAGAGAGGCCCGCAAACGGGTGGTAGTCCACCATCTGGCCAGTGATGCTCTGGGTGTCCTGGCTCCGGTCCATGCCCTCGAAGAGAGACAAGCTCTCGCGGGTCTCGTAGCCCGAGTCAGACGGTGCAGGCACCAGAGGCATGGTATCGCATTCGGAGGGAGCGGCACTTCGCCATCCGGAGAGGGACGGGCCTGCCTCGCGGGAGGCAATAGCTCCGGGCTTCTCGCGACCATGATGGCGCTCCGGAATGACGCCTTTGGGCACCCAAGGGTCGGCATCGGGAGGCGCTTGGTAGAAATTGAACAGGTTGTATGCCGGGGGCCAGTTGTGGACAGGCGCATCGAAGTTGTTCGACGGTGGCCTCTGCACGCCGGGTGGCTCCATGGCGGAGGGAGGTCGGTTGCACGATTTGAAGTAGAAGTCCATACACAGGGTCCGCAAAAACTGAGTCTATGGAGAGCGCTGGGAAGAGACGGATGAATCCCAGTTAAGGCGATGCGTCATAGGCGTGGGCTCAAGCTGACGCGCTGTCAGAAGGAAGGGGGGGAAAGCGAGGCGCACGGGGATGGGAGCATACCCAAAGACCTTGTTTTACAGTAATTCTGGGATGAGGAAGAATTGTGGGATATTTTGGCATAGTACGACAAGAAAGACTGGAAGAGCCAATGTATGCCAGAAGACGGCTCGGCTCGTCTCGTGAGGTGCGGGAAATAAATGAGCCACAAGCCAAAGCCAAGTCCTCGAGACCTCCACCTCGAGACCGGCCTTGACAGAGGGAGCACCAGGAAGATTTGAAGGAAAATGTCGATCGATTAGGAGAGACGGTGGTAAAGCCGCTAGCTTTCGGTCTCCGAACAGGGACGTGCGCCAAGAGTGAGGCTGAGGTGGAAGGGAGGGGACGGGAGAGGAGGGGAGGGGAGGGAAGAAAAAGATAACGCGGCCTAAGACGTAATCAAGGCTTGAGTGGGAAGTGGTTGATGATAAGAGAACCTGGTGGTCGAGCACATTAAAAAGCAATGCGTTGCGTTGTGTTAGGTGCAGAGCCAGTGGACTCAACAATGGAAGCGGTAGTCTGGCAAAGCGATAGAGCAGAGATGGCGATGTGGCTGTGCGCGAAGTGTGTGGGCGGCGTGCCTGTTGTCTGTGGAGGTCTGCGTCTTGGTTCGTGTCTCTGTCTCGACCAAGGACGAACGAAAGGTAAAACCGCGTACGAGACTAGAATAGAGTATTCACTCAGTCCGCGGAACGGTAAGGTGTAAATGAAGCGACACGCCCTCGTAGATTTGAAAATGAGAAATGGTCACGGTCGATGAATGTCTTTTCCTGAGTTGGAGTCACAAGCATCCCCTCCCCTCCCAGTTCGGGGTTTTTTTTTCTTCTTCTTGCTTTTTTTCCCCCCTTCTGTTTCGATTTCGGTGAGGGCAACGGCGATGGAGAGGTCGACGTCTCTCTCTGTCGGCAAGCCAATCAATGAGCGAGAATACACGAGGTCCACGTGTTAGGCAACCAATGTGGGTCCTAATGTAACAGTAACTGGAGTGAGGCAACAAGAATTCACTTCGTACGACCTTATTAGGTAGGTAAAGGCAAGTACCCAGCCATCGAGTCTGTCCGTACCTGTATCCATCAGGTACCGTGATTACCTATTGCGTGCTCCGTCCGTTATTATTCCGTAGATTGTCAGTTTCCTGAAAAAAGATGCTATCCACATCTTCTTTCTGCTCCATTACGCATCCCAAATCACAAACCTAGCAAGCCAGGCACTCCGAGACTTCCACGCAAAATCTTGGACAGAACGCTTTATATGTAATATGGACCTTTCCCTAGCGGCTCATCCATCAGCCACGCCCACGTCGTCGGGCGTCCCATAGACGGGCACAAAGTGGGTGAGGCCGCGCCTAAGCATTGATTTCTCTTGCTAGAATCATCTTGCCCATGATTCTCGGGGTAGCGTGTTCTCAACCTCAACGAACACGTGCGTACTCTGCAGCCTTCGTCTCCACTATCCAGGGGCCTTCAATCAGACATGCCAAGTCGACGTTTCTCACATGAAAGCACCTTGGATAACGAGAGATATTTCAAGTCGTCTCTGCCCACGACACTCGTGATGCCAGACGCGGGCGATTGGGGACGGACGACGGCTTGCTTCAATCGACTGGCTCTTAAATGGACGTGAACCATGGCAAATTCCTCATTGTTCTAGGCCCTTGGGATGCAGACAACTCCACTGCCGACTGGCCCCTAATTTTGATCAACTGTGACACCAAAATCCTGGTGGCAGACACGGTCCCCTCTCACGGTCCCCCATCCCCAATGTTTGCTTCCAGAACTATCAGCCACAACCTGTCCTGTTTGGTCTCCCGTCGTGCCACGAGAGAAAGCTGGTTTCGCGTTTCTAGCCACTGTCCCTCGACATCTAGGCAGTGGTTCCGTACAGTCCGGGACATCTCCACACCAGCATCAACCGTGGCAAGCATTTTCGTCCTGCTTGTCTCAGCTACGAGTGTCGACATGTTGTTTGATCCGTTCTCTTCGAGAAAGGTGTCCTGCAAACTTGCAGGTGGGCTGTTTGCCAGCTTACCATGCGAGCTACACGGTTGTCCTCGCGGTCTAGTCTGCGCTTTTTTTTTTTTTTCTTCTTTTCTTTTTTTTTCTTCTCCGCGTGCGTACTTCATATCAGGTTCTCCATATTCGGTGGTTCGTTACCTATCTACAGTGTTGTGTTCTTGCTCCCCATTACGCCACGGGTAGGTACTGAGTCTGGACCTTCGTTCGCCTTTCCATTCATTTTTATTGATTTTATTTTATTTTATTTCCCCCCTCCCCCCTTTTTTTCAAATCTGTTCCGCACCGCACCACATGGAGTCGTCTACACCCCATACTGTTTGCCCACCTTCATCCATCCAGGGCATGAATCTCCACAGCGTTACTGCAGGGCTTTCCTCGAGGACTGCCAGGTTTGCTTATCTGTTTCTGGAGAGGTCAAAGAAATCCGGGGGCCCGCATATTTCTCACGGCCGACCCCCCGCGTCTAACTTGAGGTAGGAACGTGTAACGGGCTTCGAATCCGGGTTGTTATGAAGTGCTTCCCCAGAAATAGATCAGAAGGGACGGGTCACAACTTGAAGAGTCGTCTACGCCCGCATTCAAGCGCGACAATAGCTGCCATCAGCGCTTTATATTACGTACACGCAACACGCAAGTCGACTAGGCCCAAATAACCCCGTTGCCACACTGCCCCGGCGTGCGTTCTTCTTCATTCCATGCAATCATGCTGCACCAACACCCATGGTGTGCTTCTTCGGCAGCCGCTTGGGCGTCTTCAGCGGCTTCAGCGATACATACGAATCGTATTTCTGACATCCACGCCCACCCCCACATCCACACCCATACCTTAGGTATCCACATCACATCAACAATCTGCCGTGTATAGATTCCGCACTGCGAGCTCTACGTGACACGCACGTTATCCCGACGTCTTAGTACGATGGCCCCTTCTTGACGAGCCACTTGCTACTACATGGCCCCCCGGTTTACTGAACATGCCATCCATGCACAGCCGTGGGGCATTCCGACGCAACCCCCACGTCTTGCATACATGAAGCATGAAGCGTATACGAAGGAATATAGGGGAAAGGGCAAAGTATCTGTCAGAACAGGCCGGCAACTCCCATGTCTGGAGGAGGCAGATTCATGCCACTTTCAGACGACATTGTGTCTCATCAGGACAACCTGTCTGTATCTCAAAAACGACCCTCGCCATGGCTGCATACTATGGCTGCAGTTCTGATGCCCTTTCCTGGCCAGCTGCAGCGTGATAGAGGAAGCAGCCGCCGTTCGAGATGGACGAACCCCGAGGCCCTCCTCCTACGCAGATACGGGATGCTTCTACTATAAAAGGGGACAGCTACTTCGTCAGACTATGAACTACACGGAGCCCCTTCATTGCATCCAGTCTCTGATATCGTCACAATCCACACCGCGACAAGTTGCCCCGGAAAACCCCACCCCCAGGCATCTCAAGAGCTTGATAGCAGTCTAGCCACAAGACAGTAAGTTGGCGCTTCGAACCCAGGGGTGGCTTGACCTACCTTCATTCGAGGCAACCAAGATAACTGATACGATTGGCATCACACCAGGGACACCGAGGACGACCATAATGTGCGATTGGGAGGAGTTTCTCTTTACCTGCAGCCACTCTGTGGTGAGGCTCAAGTCGTACTGCCACTTCGCCCGCAACGACCCCAACCACCAATGTTTCGGCGTGAAAGTCCTTCGAAAATCGTGGCAACAAGCGATCCCTTGCGAGCAATGCATCGCGAGATGGCATGAAAACAGCCAACAACAATTCGGCCAGTCTCTTCTCCGAGCTCCCGGTCGACAATAGGGGCGTTTGGGTTCAGTGGTTCAGTCTCCCTTTACCGCGTTCAGATCTTCCCGAGGACTGGAGTTGGGAAACCCTGTGCAGTCCAACATCTAGAAGGCACTGGGGGGGGGGGGCTTCTTTGACAATTAGCGATTGAGCCGGTCTTGGCCGTGTATCATCATTGTGGGAGAATGCAGCGGTATAACAGGAGGAAAAGGGGTAATGATAATAGCCGGTATCTATGTGCTATCAGATGGGTTTGAGTGCTGAGGCACAACGAGGAGGAAGCAAGAAAACGGCGTCATGAGCCCAGAATCAAGCTTCTGGGGTGTGTTCGGGGTTAGACAACGTATGTTTTCCCGGGGAGAATGACATCGGATGGAGATGTCACTCCCAGGCTACCTTAGCCAGATATCATCCGGTCCTTTCAGCATGTGAGTTATGTATCAATCAGCTGTTTTTCATCATCCTTGCGGTACAAGGCAAGGTTGTTGGGGTAGATAAGACGTGAAAAGGCATCCGCTGTCCTGCGTGTCCTGTCTGTTATGCCCACTATCTATCATCATATCAGATCCAGTGGGAAGTTCCGTTCTGCTGAGAGACTCTACACGAAGAGCATGATCCTCCTATCAGTTGCTGTCGCAGTGAACCACAAGGTCCAACCTGAGCGGCTGAACCAACCACAGGTCCACAACCTCACAACCTCCCCTCCCCATCTGCGTGTGTCTAGACATCTTGGCGTGTACTTCACCGGTGGTGTCGCTTCGCATGAACTAAACAGACATATTGTCCCACGGCGGTCGCTCCAGACTCGTCCAATCCTATCACCACCTGGTGAAATAGTCTTCCCTGTTCCTGGCCGCCTGTATTCCGGCGAGTTTGACTTGGCATTTCGAGTCCTCCCCCACCCGATGCCGTGAAGCTAGCCGGTTCAAGATTGTGAATCCCGGGGTGTCCGGTTTTGGCGCCCCAAATAGACTTGACGAGGCCAAGCTTTGCGACACCTGCCGACCTCATGTATGGCCTGTGAAGCTGGGATGACCTCGAGGAGAGCGAGGAATAGCAGGCATTCGGAGATCTTGTTCTAGCCCGTGGGCTCGCCGCCCATTTCGACACGTTTCTTGGGTGGCTGGCCCATGTCCGCCCCCTTTTTTTGGGCGGGGATTCCGCATCGGAATCAAAACAGATATTAGTCTCTTTTACATACGCTGCAGATACCTAGACCTCAACATGCATCACGTCAAAGCCCCAAACTGAAGGACACGGCGGGGGAAGGTGAGCAGAGTTTTCGTTTTCTCCTACTCCTAGACCCAGCCCACATGTGCAATTCGTGCATTTTCGACTCACAGCTCGGCACCGCGGAACCTCCCCGCGAAAACACTAAGGCAGAGGGGGGAGGGAACCGGGGAGTTGTGACAGAGACGTAATTCGCGTGCTGCATCTGGGGTTGCACAGGGGTTAGCAGACAAATCCGTCACCTGGGTCGTGTTATACTAACACCCCCTTTTTTTTTTTGTCCCTCCCTCCGTACCACTCACGCCATGGAGGCAGTCCTCGGCAGGACTGCGTGTTCTGCGGAGACATGCACCGGCTTCCGGCTTGATATGGCATGCTTTCTTGTGTTTAGAAACCCCGCGCGCGGAGACGGTTGTGAGCCGCATAGAGGAGACTCTCCGCGCGCGGGTGCATGTACACGGCGGTTACGTGCCCCCCTTGGAAGCCACAGACGAAGATTGGAGGGCGACCTGAAGCCAATCGAGATGATTAGTTTGCACATAACGTACATACATAGCATATATTACAGCTTGTCACCCCTCTCCCCCTCTCATGAGCCAGGCCCGGGGTGTTCAGGATATCAGCAGCTCCTAGCATAGGCCCGTCCTAGCCTTGGCCTGGGAGAGAGGTCTGGACCGGTAACCGGGGAATCAGAATCAACAAGCGGGGATCTTATGCGCGCGGAACGAGATCATGCATGAGACTGTTACGTTCGGCTGAGACAGCCCGTATTCCGAGAATATATGCAAGTGATAAGAGGGCAGAACCTCACAGTTGGAGGTCTCTACACCAGATGAGGCAGGCTGGCAGAAGAGACAATAGCGGGGTTGGCGAATTGCGCAGGACAAAGATGCAGTGTTGGGGTTATACCTTACACACAGCGAACCTGAGAAAGATCGACGTAAGGTAGTTTACTCTTTCCTGTGGATACCTTAGCAACAGACGATAAGTCGTATATTCGTAGATGGGAGGCGGCAGGAAGACAATGCCACTCATTCTCTCCCCCATTTTTTTGTCTCGTTCTTTATCTTTTCTTTTCTTTTCTTCTTTTTTGACGGGGCCACTACATCGAGTCAGACCTCCTCGATATAGGGCGCGAAAAAAAAAAAACGGAAAAAAAGACGTAAAAGGTAAGGGTAAAATCGCCATCCAGGGCAATGCTACATTCCGGAAGGAAGAGCCGATGCCCCTGAACCCCCAAGGTCGTCTTTCTCGCCGTCTAACGTGCCTCCTACTCGGTATTATTGGCGCCGACTACACGGCCGACGACGTTGTAGCGTTTGGAGAAGAAGGTAACCCAGTCGTTGAGGACTCCCTGCTCCTTTGCGTCGAGGTCTTGCCATTCGGGCCGTACATCGTCAGCCTTAGTTGATGTCTTCCCCAGGGCGCGGGAGGCGTCCTTGCCGGCGAACACTAGAAATTCCACCGGGTTAGAAAAGGAAAATGTCTCGGCACTTTGATTCGGGAGGGACGAAAGTTCCCCAAAAAGGGCCCGCATATGTATGTATGTATGATGTATGTACTGCATCAATGCCCATTGGGACGACGTCGAAGGTTTGGGTCTTGCTGCAGGCAGCCAGTGACCGGAATAGGGGTTGCGATGCGTACCGTGATAGGATCCGCCTGGCTGGTAGGCTTTGTTTCCGCTCACATCATAGACGATGCCCTGCAGGTTGAGAGGATCGGCGTGAGCAATCATTCTCACGAAGAGCCGGAGGTTGAGAAGATGAAGATGGACATGCCGCAGCCGCGGAGACATGGCGAGAGTCATACCTTGATGGCAACATAGGTCTTCCCACCGTTCGTTCCTATTACCGTCGTTAGCGAGATCCGATGTTTGCTTAAATGCCGCATGTGACAGACAAGAGGGCGATTTGGACAATATTTTCGCAACCGTCCCAGCCGCAGTTGATTCTGATATGAGGACAGGAGGGTGATATGAGGACAGGAGGGAACTGAGCATCAGGCATGGAAGTCGGACCCTCCACGGATCCCACGCCTCTGGACATGAAACTTACCATTCGCTGCCACGAGTTCCTCCACAGCGATGGGATCATCCTTGGGAGGATCGAGGTTGACGGGGACCTTGGGCTCAAACTTTCCTGTCATATTTACGACGTAGAGAAAAGAGAAGTGAAAAGGGAAGATGTAAAGGCGAAGGAATGCGTGAGGGTGAGAGTGTGAGAGGGTAGGTATAATGATGAGAGGAGAGCAAGTAAAGGGCGAAGGGCAACGTCGTTGGAATTAACTTTGTTGGAATAAAACGTGAATGTAACACTCGGTATATCTTCTGTCTCGTTGTTTCTTTGTTTGTCAAAGCAAGCCTCGACAGGTCCCTTCTTGTTGTAGTGGGTTTGTTCTGTTCAGGACTAATTATTTGAGGCTTTTCATTGGAGAGCGGGGATGGCTTCCCCAGGATAAAGTAATTGACATTCAACGCCGAAGGCATGATGCCGAAATCGCGGGGCATTTAATCGCAGTTCATGGATTCGTCCGACGGACCTCGGAGTCAAAAGAATTGAAGAACTATGATTGGCTGCGATATGTACAGCGGTCCACCAGACGAGTGTCCCCTGTGACAATCCTTAGTCAGCCATCAGAGACTTTGACGTCGTCCAACGGAAAAAAAGAAGAAGGAAAAAGGGAAGAAAATAATTTAAAAGGGAAAAGAAAAGTACTCCGTAATACATCATATCAACAGGCTTCGCAGGCTTCACGACGAGCTTCACTGTATTCTATTCCTCCCGTACCCCCACCCCACGTTATAACTTCGACATAATCACCAGAACTACAGATACACAACACATTAACAAATATCCCCATTTAGTAATCACATACTTTCAAATACTGCCATCTTAGCATTGCGTCACAGTCACTGTTCCTCCCCGCCCCTCGAATGCGCTGGCCACGATGCCGATGACGCACCTCTCCTCGTTTCGCGCTCTCAACCGAGCTCGAGTTTCCCTCCATCTCCTTCCAGCTCGAACACCGTACTTGAATACTTCCTCTTCCACCTCACTCTCTTCCTCACTCCGAACTGCACGACCATGGATTGCCACTACAATACTAGATTCTCACAAGGCCCGCCAACAATCCACATCAAATAAGCCCTCAGGTAGCTCCGGCAAGCCTAACATTAGGCATGTCGTGCCGCCCACGCCGTGGCAGCTACTTCGGCGCTCTTTTTCTCTCCGTGGAATCCTCTCCTCCTTAACTCCAAGTGGGATCAAGAAGCTCTATCGAGAGAGCCCCCTGGAGCTCGTGGCTGCCCTCGCCATGTACGTTTTCTCTCTCCTCCCACCTTCCTGCAAATTTCACAGTCGTCTTGCTGACGTTCCCGTTCGTGTGGTTAGTCTCGCCGGCCTCATGGGCATATCGGCCTACATTGTCAATGTCTGCATCAACTACTTCTATGCGCCCCAGTTCACCCGATACCCTCCCGCCATTGCCAAGTCTCTTCGGCGCGCCCTTTACTACACGAATATGCAGCCGGATCCTCAGTTGGCCAGGAAGTGGTATAAGAAGGCTCTGGAGCAGTGCGATGAACTGGGTCTCGACCCTTTCTCGGATGAGGTCCTGGGCATCAGGATTCAGACCGCTGCTTGGCTGGAGAAGATTGGCAACTACCAGGGCGCCATCACCATCCTGGAATCGGTGCGGAAGGATTGCACCAAATGGGTCGACGCCATGGAGAAGGCCGTCGCGGATGGCACCGTCGACAAATCAGGGAATGTGCCCGTCGTCAAAAAGGGCGACGATAACGATCAGGACGATGACGAATCAGTCCCGGAGAACCTATGGCGGAAGCGCAACCGCCTGCTCGCCAAGGCCGTGGGCACGAGCACAAAACTCGGCGAGCTCTACGCCGACGATCACGTTAACGATTCCGAGAACGCCCAGACTCGTCTGACGTGGGCCGTCGAAACCGCCTTGTCCGAGGCAAGGAGGCGAGCTACCGAGGGCGTCAAACCGGAGGAAGGGAGCTGGCTCTCGCCCGAGGAGTTTGGCGGCGCCATGGAGTCGCTTGCCAAGCATTACGAGTCCAAGTCGCAGTTCCACCTCGCCGTGCCCTTGCTTTTCCAGGCCCTGCGGCTCTGCCAGAGTCCGTGTCACCGACCCACCATTATGAACAACCTAGCCGTCTCCTTCGCACAGCACCCCGTGTTAAGCAGCGCCTCGGAACCGATCCCCAACGCCCCGGCCGTATCAAATGCCGTCGATGCTTCCGGCATGCCGACCACGCGCGACGGCTTCCTCGAGGCAGCCTGGAACTGGGCCCGCAACGCCAGACGCCATGCCAAGGACGTGGAAGCGAGTGAGAGGACCCCTGAGTGTGACGAGGCCTGCGCCGTTGCACTGTCCAACATGGGGGATATTGCCGCCATGCAGGGTAAAGTTGCGGAAGCGCGCCGTCGATTTCAGCAATGCATCGAGCTGAGCCGCAAGATCGAGTTTGAGCAAGGCGTCACACAGGCAGAAGCCGGCCTGCGGAATCTCAGGACTGCTGGCGACGTGTAGAGTCGACCATCTTGCAACGTTGATTGACTGTTTGCCATTCTCTTGTACCGACGAGAGAATCACCATACATACCATCGGTGTAGAGAGTGTTTGAAGCTTCGGCTCAGCGATGACTCCTCTCCTCGTCCTCGCTGTTTGGCAATACACTTCACTTCAGGCACCTTGTTTTCTGTGATAACCTTCGTAGTGGCATCGCGGCTCCCCAGGTTGCCAGTTGATGCAACGTTCAACGTACAACGTACGGTGTACTCGGGATCTGCCATGGGATCAACCGCTCAGCCATAGGCAAACGCGACAGCAAGTAACTACGCCACAGATCACCCGTCGCCATATGCTTTTTATAAACCCGTACCTCCGAAGACAGACCGATCTCTCATACCCAAAACGTCACGCCGAGACGAGCCAAGAGCCTTGCGTTTAGCGATTAGGGGGTGGAAAAGAGCCCCGGGGGGAAGGGGGTTCAAATGCCGACTGTGCCGGGATCGCCGAGCCTCAAATATACGCCATAGCTAGGACATTGTCTGCAGCGTCTGCTCACTGGGCGATAGGCCATCGATTACATACGTCGTGCCACGAGGCGTGGCGCTCCATGTCTATCGTCTAAATCCGCCATTGAACAGTGACATCAGGTTGGCGTAGACAGCACTATGATATGAGCCGTGACTTGCCTACAGCCTTCTTCGCACCGGCCAAGTTGTTGATGCTAGGGATTTCAAGAAGCGACGGTCCCACAGCATGTTAGCTCCCGGCATCGAAAATGCCGGGCCGAGACGAGAAACAAAAGCAGGCTTCTACTTCGTATTCGCGCCATCGCGGACTCGGGGGTCCGACAATCCCACTCTCTGTACGTACTGTAGTGTATGTTGAAGGCACAAGAAATGGAGGGGTTGTAATTTGGACAGGGGGTCCATCAGTGAATTCCCTACCTATGCAGATCCGGTAGCCGCCTTATTATGTTCACGCCCATTGCGTGAGCGTCCACCCTCTGCGGGGGCCGCAAATTCAGCCTACCCTTTTGCGCGAGCGCAGCGAAAAGGTCTCCCAAATGTCGGGATATGCGCGTGGTGTTATCCCTGCTTTTCATCCATCCACGCCCCCCCTCCTTTTTTTTTTGCCCACGAATACGCGGTTTGGGTACGACCTGCTTGACATTTTGCAGCTGCCGACCTCCCCATTGCATACCCGCTTTTCCGCTTTCCCCTATCTTTCTCCACACGGCCGTTGATGATGAGGGATGAGCCATACTGTCAATGCTAACGATGGCGTGACAGATTTTCTGCCTTTGATTTCAAATCTCGGTGATAGATTACGATATCAATAATTCGAGGGCTTGCAAGGGTCAAGTCGCTGCAGATACCTGGCAGATATATCGCGTTTGATCACTGCCGGCTGCCCATACTTGGCGCGGAAGACCAGAGAGAGGCAGCGCTATCGACATACTCTACATGTTTCTTTCATAGTGACTCACCTTCGCAAATTGAGGCTTTGCGCTGGTTATCCAGGAGAGATGGTTTGCCGGACTGCCGGACTGCCGGACCTCCTGTGGAATTTGGTAGGTATGACTGCGCCGCTTGATATGACGTTCAGGCTCAGCCCAGGATAGGCAGATTGTCGGTCCCCTCGCGAAGCCTATTGGACGACTCCGGAAAGAAACGTTGAACTTGCTCTGGTTACATTGTTGGATGCCCACGCTTTCTTCATACTTCTTTCTCGCTATCGGCGGTGAAGAAGACCTAATTGACTGACCTGGACTCGGCGTTCCCCTGGACGGGGGCCCCTTCGTTGCATATGCATGCACCGTGCCCCGAGCCAACGAGCCAGTCAAGTGATGGTGGACAGGAGGGGGGTTCATTTATTTCCACGTCGAGAATCAAGCCGTTGCTATACCTAGAACCCCCCCATCTAGCAACCCCAACTTTGGCCAATTCTTTGTCCGCATGCGGTTCCACCCATGCGAAGATCACCCCCTGACCTAGCGTAAGGCTGCCGTAATACGGCGTAAAGGGGACGTCTCGTCTCTCTTGGTAATCTGCCTCTCAGTTGCGGTGTTATGTAACTTTCATTTTTGTATTAACCGGCTGTGGTTGGCAAGCGAAGGGGCTTGCCACCGTTCTTGGACCCCCCGTCTACTGTCACGTACCATCGGCGCAAGACAAAATTGTTGAATCGAGTTAGGGGGGGTGGAGTGTAGGAGTGTGTCTCGCCGCTGCTGCTACACTACCCGAGAAGGCGGAGGAACAGGCACAACTGGATCAGTCGACATATCATCCTTGTCCGCCTTGCCTGTGTGGACGATCTGATATATTAGGCCGCTGCCGTCCTACTCTCCTAGACTCCTAGTCGTGGATCCATATTCATTCCATCACGCTCTAGGTTCAATCTCCAACTCGCCAAACTCCAGATATTCCAAGTACTAGAAAACGAAACGAAGATTCAACCCCACGATAACTCAGCTTTGCATGGCGAGACTATATGCCTTTCAGATGGGAGACATGGGTAATTTCTCGGATTCTGACTATCGCTACCACCACTGCGACGAGAACAACTACCAGCCAGAAGTGGCCAACTCGTCAGGGCCCATGAGCCCCGTATCCTCACCTCATGTGAGTTTGACGATCACCGACCTACCGCGGCTTTTTGAGCTTCCGTTTCCGCAGAGATGCCTCTTCTGTGAAGGAGAAGACGGCAGAACAGAATGCGCGCTGACTGTTGCGAGCCTCAGTTTGCGACAACATTCCATTCAGACGCGGATGCCTTGATGGCCTGCTTGAGGGTTTACCCAGACTCCACGAGCTCAAGAGCAGCGTCGTACTCCCCACAACCGCCCACGCCGCCATGCGAACAATCAGGACAGCCGAAAGACCTTGCCCACACATCACAAGGCTCGCCGTACATGTCCGACTCGCCACAATCCCCGCCGGGAAGCAAGCCGGCGCCAAAAAGGAAACGGGAGAATCGGTACAAGGACGCACCGCCGTCGGTGCTCTCGGTATGTCTACCTGGCTCTGGCGTTATACATTTCGGTTTCGTCCAAGGGGGGAAGAGAAAAGAAGAAGGAAAAGGAAAGAAGAAAAATAAGCTAACCTTTGATTGCAGCGACGACGGGCCCAGAATCGAGCCTCACAGCGCGCCTACCGCGAGAGAAAGGACCAGCGCATCAAGGACCTCGAAGTGATGCTCTCGGAGCAGAAACAGAGAAACGATGCGCTAAGTCAGGCATATACCACCCTTCATACACAGTACATGGGCTTCCGGGCTGCCCAAGTCAGGATCCAGCCGCCCACGTCCATGTACGATATGCCGACGACCATGATAGCTACCGGGCTTGCACCAAGCGCAGGCTCTGCGCTGGGGGGCGATGTGTTTCTGTACCAAAACCTGCCAGCATATACAGGTTGATGACGAGACCCGGGTTGGCCGGGGGAAGGCCATGCACTGAATAGAGACATCTGATCGACACGATATAGAGGCGTTTTTTTGGTTGCCATCTCTGCTGTACAGGGTGTGAATTCCGGAAGGGAAAGAAGAAAGAGCATGAGTTCATGGCGGATCGGTCAAGCCAAAATGAAAGCCAGAGCTATGGCTGGTTGGGTAATTTCGAGGGGTTTTCCAGGGTTCTTCAGGGCACAACGGGGTTATGGGAAGCGACTGTGGCACCATCTTATTATGTATAGTGCAGGAAAGACTTTCGGATCATCCAGCCTCTTGCGCAACATGAGATGGGTGGATTTGACTGATATACCATATCATATTAACCAGCCTCGAACCACGTGCCTGGAGATGATTAGGTGCAGGTGATGGGATATACTTCGTCGTACTTCAGTAATATCATGGAACAAGTCCATATCGATCTCCTACGGCCCTACCCCCTTCGATATGTAAACTTCGCTATGGTTTGGTCACGTACCTACTTTTCATATATATCGTTTCTCCCACATGTTTTCGCATGACAAGATAGTGAACCTAACGGCAGTGTGATGGCAGTTCTCGTCACAGAGCGACTTGACATGATCCCTCTCCGGGCCCAAGTGGTGGGATACAGCTGTCCCGGTCCGTTTAGACGGTGGTATCTTTAAGAAAACAGCAAAACAGCCGGTTTTCAGGCGGTTATGCTATGCACTATGCGACTTATCGATAACCTTTATATAACGTGGGAGTCGAATAGTCAGAGATTGGCTGTCGGGGAAGCCGCAAGAGGCGGCATTCGGAAAGATCTCGGAAGCTCCGGGAGTCCGGTGATGGTGCGATAGGGGCAACCTGGGTGACTGGGTCCTGATAATCAAGGGGTTAACAGGCCAGGTGAGTCGTGACCGGTTTACCTTCTGCGAAGCCCAGCTGACATTTCAGGTAATTCGTGCTTCGATACTTCGTGCTCCGGACTTCGGACATAGAAGCGAGGAGTGGAAATGTCCAATTCCAATTCACTGGGCAAGGGACGATGTCTTGTCTTTCTTGTGATTTGACTCGTGTCTTGGCAGGGCGAGAGTCATATTACCAGATCACACCGACAATCGGACCAGGCACCGGTTTCTCCTTGAAGCGCGCCAAGTTGGTCACATGTGACATGTATCCGTACTGCTTTCACTGTGCATCCCACTCCGTACCTGCGTCGAATATGATGGAAGGATGGAAGATTGGGAGTCAACGAACGAGGTGAGGGAAGAGGCCACCTGGAAGGAGTCTAGAGGTCGGGACCAGATACGGTACGTTAGTCAATGTCGCAGAGGTGCGTTGGTGGGGGGATTCGTACGTCGTATGTTCCGGGTTCTCGTAACTTTAGTTGTCCAAATGGCATCATTGTTATAACCTAAGGTATGTACATTGGAACAAGATGAGTTCATTTGTTTTACGAATACATCGGATCAACATTGACATCTACCAGGTATCTTACCTTAGGTAAATATTCGTACACAAAGTGCAGGTAAATACCTTACAGGGGCGATGCAGAGACATCCCCTGGTGACCTGCTCATCCCGCTCCTGCCACCGTTGCTGGCAGGTACCAACGGTAACGAGGGTCGATACTTCCGCCAGCGGGTAAATCCGCACAAGTAAGAGTGTACCGGGCTAGCGACGCAGGGTACCCATGTACCCACTACCCCGCATTCTTGCCACGAGCTGAAGCTGATCTGGTACCTTCGACCCCCGGTGGACGAGTGGACCTATTTGCGTCACCTCCTCCTCATTGGAGGCCGAGAAGTTTCCACTACCTACCAGCACGTACAGCAGCAGGCTGGAGCTTTCCCCGCAGATTCCGTTGCTGTTTGACAGGAGCTGTACTGTTACTGAGCATCAATTCATCAATTGACAAGACTTCTTGCTCACATTACATCTGGGTAGCGGGTGAGGAACTCGAGAATAACGAATTGGTCTGCCAGTAAAGACAAACTGAGTACCAGGTAAATTGGAGACAAAGAACAGAGTACGCGATATGGGTTAGCTACGTAATCCAGTGCAGAGTGGGGAAAAGGGAGTTCTGGGCCGATACAGGACAAGGTTAGAACCACCTATAACCACCTCATCGCCTAGTCACACCACAGCCAAATGTCATGTTGGGTGAGGTCACGCGATCGCCTCCGTCTCCGGTCTCGTCCACTCAAATCCCCAGCCATCCACAGGTACATGCATGCATAGGTAAGTAAGGTACTTCAGAAGAACCTCGTCATATTGAGACGTGGGGTTTGCCAACTGAGGTACCTGAGGTCCTGAGGAACCTACCTCCCTTAAGGTACCCTGTGTCTTGTAAGTTGTCACTCCATGGTCCCAGCTTCCCCTGTTTCGGCAGCGTGCCCGGTGATTGCGTGATGTGATAGGCTGTGGGCCGCCAGGGTCTCTCACCATCTCGTCCTCCCCATTCTCCTTTAAAAGCCGCCAGGCTAGCTGCCTCCATGCTCCTAGTGGTATGCCCTAGCCATCTCCATCTCGCCCATCTCGCCCATCTTGTTATATACTACCGATCTATCTGTGCCTACTCTGTAGCCGGTTTCCCCCCTACCATATTAAACCGTCCCTTCTTCAAATCGCGTTCCCCCTCGTCCCTCATTCCTTCCATCATTCTACACCATCTCTTCTCCTCCAAACATCTCAACTACCGCAAACAGACCTGCTAATTCACACCCTCTCACCAACCACAATCCCTATTTCTTCATCAACTCGCATCAATTCTACCAACTCTCAACCCATATCCTCTGCTCCGACTTCCCATCTACTCATCCTGACCTCTAAACGACGATCGTCTCTTCTTCCATAAACAGTGAGTCTTCCCCTCGGCTTCGGTGCCTCAGGTGCAGTGAGGATTTGTCCCGTTTCCCCGCATCTGTATCCCCATCACCACCTTACACCATTGTGTCATCCGGCATTGACCTGTCTCCTCCCGCTACCCGCCGTTTCTCATCGTCTTGTCACTATTGAACGAACCTACATGCCACCTTCACCATTGCCGTCATCATCAAAGTCGAAGCATTCCGATGTTCGCCTAAATGATGGTGTATTGGTGTTCGGTCTCGTCAACATCTTGCCAGTCTTACAAAGTGGTCGTGGGATGTTCGGCTGACATTTGTGGCTCTCCTCGCAGTGACCCGCTCGCACAAGTTCAACGACCGTAACCACGTCGGCTTGGCCGACGGTACCGCCGCCCCCGAGGACCATCTCCCACGCTACTTCGGGAAATCTGGCTTTGAGGGTACCGACCCCAAGAAGATCAAGAAGCAGGGTGGTGGTCGGGCCAATTGGTATGACTTTCCCGCTCTTTGATGGTTTCATCTCAGATTCGCAGTCCTACATCAGACAGGCACAGACCCGGCTAACTCAATTATTTGCATCACAGGGGTGCCGTTGGCGAGGAGATTGTCGACGAAGGGGACTTCCACTTTGTCAAAGCTCGTCGTCGCTCCAACAGCAGTGGCTTCGCTCACCATATCCGCGACTTCAAGACCAAGTTCGACGTGAATGAGCCAGAGCCGGTCTTCGAGGAGTCTGTCCACGGTCCTCACGAGGAAGAGTCCGGCGAGGAAATTTCCAAGACGGAGACCTCGGAAAGTAGCCGCTCATCTGATGACGAGAAGCTCATGCACAAATAATTCCACACGAGCCTTGCATCTGTGAGCGCGGGACCTTGAGATGCGGGGCAGTCGTGTTTACTACGATTTCAGGATGATATTGCTTAACGGAACGGCCTGGATGTGCTGTATTTGCTACTACAAGGATTGACCGGGGTTTCGGCTTCCTCGGCCAAGCGAATTGATTTTGGGACTTGGCTTTTCTCTGAAGAATGGCCAGAAATAGGAGCGTTGGTGGCAGGTATGGAGCACAGCATCTTCGCCAGATCCTCCCTCTCCCCTGCTTCTCTTCGAATGACTGGCCTCGGCGATGGATACTCAGGGGCGGCGCGCTCACGATCTTGACGATGACACTTCACATTTGGTGGCTACTGTATTATTTAAACTTACTTCAGATATGAAAAAGGCATAGGATCTTCTTGAAAGAGTAGATCCGTGCTCTGTACATCATCTTGCTTTTCTCCTGGGAAACAAACGCAACATGTGAGAGGATGTGATTGTCCTTGTCCTTGTCCTGGCTACGTTGGTCGCGAGACAGATTCCAGCCTCCGTTGCGTCGGCGGAAGAAGTAGGACTTTTGAAGGCACTGGAGATGTGCGTGCTTCGTGGGAGGGGCAGAGATATAACCGACCTTGTGACGGTGCAGTTACCCCGAGTACCAGCACCACCGAGGGATCGTTCTCCTCGAGGACCGAGAAAACGGAACCAATGTGGTTGAACAGTTGGACAACCTTGATAAACGTCCTACCTTGGCAACCAATGCTTCATTTTGATTTGCACTTCCAGGTACCACGTCTACCCTTTCTCCTCGACCGACCTACCATCAGAAGAAGTCTCTAGCAGTCAGCGACTCTGTATACCTGGTGCTGAGTGATGAAAATCTTAGGAGAAAAATAGAATCATCCATGCTTATATTATGTAGTGTATTACTTCGCCTTCAGAATGGAACGACCGACTTTATTTGAACGGGGATTCTCTCCTCTTGTCCATGAACCTATGCCAAGACCGTCAGGGGGCGATGTTGATTCACAGACCCCACCGTTGATGGTGGCTTGGCTTTTCTTATCTAATCAGTAGACTCGACTCCACAGACGGAGATGGGTTGGTCGTACACTACCGTAGGTACCGTACCCACTTGTTTGCTCAGCCACGCGCCCGACCTGTAAACACGTAAGAATGTAAGACGCACCAAGCCACAACCGGGACTTCAGGAGGATCCGAACTTCTTGTTACGGCACGTACGGGAGTACAGGGATACCAAGAGATGCCCTTCCTCCATCCATCCTAAGAGACGAAGCAAACTCTCCTATTCCGTCCTCTCCGCCAACCTCCAGTCAACGAACCCGCGGGACCTGCGAACCCGACCTCATCCGCGCATCACCGTAAAACGACTACACCATGTCCGCGTCTCCGCCTGGCGTGGGCCGCGACGGTTCAATCCAGTCGAATGATTCGAACGACAAGCAACCTACGAAGAAGAAGAGCCGTCGTCCTGCAAGTGAGTAGAAGGCTCGGCGGGAAGAATAAAAATGGGAAACGAAGCGGCTGTTGGGACTCTTCCACTGACGATTTCTTCCCCCGATTAGATACCGCGTTTCGGCAGCAGCGGCTGAAAGCATGGCAGTGAGTCTATCTCCCGTGTTTCGGCGGTCCCTGGGGGGTGTGACGAGGGCGCTTTGTGAAAAAGGGGGAACAAACCATTGCTAACTGTTGTTGATGAAAGACCCATTTTGACGCCTAAAACGGTCCTTCCGCTTTTCTTCACCATCGGAATCATATTTGCCCCCATCGGTGGCCTGCTACTATATGCCAGTTCTGAGGTTCGCATTCGAGACGGCGCTCATTTATAAAGCGCCCTCCCTTTCTTCCTCCTTCTGTGTGGTGGTGGTTCCTAATTCCCAACAACACTGCGCAGGTCAAAGAAATTCGGATCGAATATACTGGGTGCAAGATCGATGCGCCCTTGGGCAATGATCTGGTGGACATGCCAAGTGACCGCATCTTTACTGCGTTCAAGAGCGAAAGCGCTCCAGGGACGGCAAGATGGAGGAGGATTGAGAACGTTCCGACAAGACCCCGCTGGGGCCTCGAATATAATGCTACGGTCTGCGAGATCGAGTTCACCATTCCAGAGGACATGGGCCCTCCCGTCCTCTTCTACTACCACCTCACCAATTTCTACCAGAACCATCGCCGATATGTCGCGTCCTTCTTCCCCAAGCAGCTCAAGGGCGACGCCGAGAGCGCCAGCGCGGTGAACGGGTCGGAGTGCGATCCCCTGAAGTGGGACGAGGAGGCCCAGAAGCCCATATACCCCTGCGGCCTCATCGCGAACTCTTTATTCAACGACACCTTCACCTCTCCCCTGATGCATAATGTCCAGGGCTCCAGCGACCGCAGCACCGTATATGAGATGCAGAACAACACGGACATCGCCTGGGCGTCGGATGGGGACCTTTACGGCCGCACCCAGTACGAGCCCAGCGACGTCATGCCGCCCCCCAACTGGCGCGTGACCTTCCCGAACTACACAACGGAGAACCCGCCTCCCGACCTGGGCGACTGGCAGGCCTTCCAGGTCTGGATGCGTACGGCGGGCCTGCCTGAGTTCAGCAAGCTGTACCAGAGGAACAACGACGAGCCGATGAGGACGGGTACCTATACGGTTAACGTCACGGACAGTGCGTATACATCTTTCTTACTTTGTCACTGGGGGGCCCATCGGGTGGATTGGGCGCAGGGCAGGCAGCTGACGTGAGCGAACAGATTTCCCGACTTTGGAATACAAGGGGACCAAGTCCATTGTGATCTCCACGCGGACGGTGATGGGCGGCAGGAACAGTTTCCTGGGCATTTCTTACATTGTCGTCGGTGGTTTGTGCATTGTTTTGGGGGCCATCTTTACCGTCACCCATCTCCTCAAGCCCAGGTTAGTCCGAAAAAGAAGCATGAAGACAGAAAACCCGGCTCAGCGGCCTAACTAACATGGCATAGGAAACTGGGCGACCATACCTACCTATCCTGGAACAACGTCCCCGGTGCGAAGCCGGGCCAAACCGGAGGCCAGAACACGGCATTTGCTTCGGGCCGCGAACTACGACCCGGCGAGGCTTAGGAAGCGCGCGAAGAGTCACGGCGACTTGTCTCGGATGTGAGCGTGAACACTTCCCCTGTCGCTTCAAGGGCACCTTCCGGAAGCTGGACTACAGTGGGGACTAGATCAGATCAGCGGATCGTCTCTCCTTTCTCGGCCTTACCTGGCCGTTAGGGGTTCTCGGCTCGACCTTGCCAACGAAGAACCGGGAAGTTGAGATTGGACGTCGGGAAATCGAATGACTCTTGAGTGTACGACTAACTACTACTGAACCTCCTCGATGTTCACCCGACCGAAGCTTGCCTCTTTCTCCCTTTACGGTCCTTGCCCCGGCATTTCTTGTTTTGTTTGCTCGCGCGTCTTTTTCCTTCTTCCCCCCATTTTTTCTTTTTTCTTTTTTTTTTCTTTTTGGCTCCAACTGACTGCTTTCATTTGGGTCGCGGGCTGGCTGCGGGCTATCTATTATATCAAACTTGCCAATATCGTTGCGTAGTATCTTAGTCTGGGCCTGGCGTTCTGGCGTGGGATGATCATAAACAGAAATCCTTTTCATATGCCTACCTACAACGCCTCAGTCACAACCCGTTCCTTGGCCGATTTGCTGCATGCGAATGGGATTATATGGATCCCCCGAGCAGTAGACGATGGCACTCACGAGATGTCGAAACTCCTGATCTCGTCTAGTCACGTCTAGTCACGTCTTGCGACGGACGCATTACACCCAAATTTTACTCAAGTACATCATAAGAGCATTGTTGGTTCCGTAACTCCCATGCAAGTAGATATTAGAAAAGCAACGAAGCTTGATGGGAAAGACCAGGCGTCTTCCCTGTGCCACCCCAACCCCAAAGCCGAACCAGAAGACGCGGGGGGGGGGGAAAGAGTAGCAAAAAAAAAAATCCATTCCGTCCTTGTCCCGCCCGGCAAATTGGTACAATACATACATGAATGCGAAAAAGGGCAAAAGGTCACTTTGGATCCCAACGAAGTGTCGAGCCGAAAATATGCCGTGGCTGTCAAACTCCCCGTCGACAGTGCGGCTGTCTCTAGTGCTTGCGCTTCTTCTTGCTCCGGCCCTCGTCCTCATTCAGGCCGCTTTCCCGATCCCGCTTCTTGGCCTTGGCCTCGAGCTCATCCCAGTCCTCGCCTTCGTCCTCGTCACTCATCTCGGCCTCGTCTTCATCGTCCTCGTCCGAGACATTGGAGCCAAAGTCCGAGTCCTCCTCGCTCGACTCGGACGCCTCGTCCATCTCGTCGTCGTCAATCTCAAAGTTGCTCTCCTCGTCCTCCTCCTCGGCGTCTTCTTCGTCCGACTCGGCTTGCAGGAACGACCAGCCGCCGTCCAGGAAGAACTGGTGCGGGTCGGCCGTGACCGTCTTCATGATGGTCGGCCAGTTGAGGTTGAGCGGTCCCTCAGAGTAAGGGATGTCGGACGAGTCGATGAATTCTTTGACCGCGTCCAAGTACTCCACGGGGATCGTGTTGATGTGGTATGGTATGCGGCTGAAGTCCTTGAATACGACGACGAGGTCAAAGTTCTTGAGCCCGAATTGGACACGTTCCAGGTGTACAATCTCGATGTCTTCGAGCGTGATGACCATGAACGGGGGCTCGACCACCTGCATCAGACAGTCCGTGGTCGGCTGGATGAAGACGTTGCTCCGGAACGGGACGCCGTGGAAACCGAGGTCGCGCAGCGGCATGTCGACTTCGATGCCCTCGTTCTTGCCCGCCTCGGCGATCTTCTGGGCGAAGCCCTGGAAGAGGCGATCCAGCTCGGCTCTCCTGCGACGTTCCTCCTGTTCTTGTTCGAACTCGTCCTCGTCTCCGTATCGGTACTTTCGCTTCCGGTTGCCCGTCTCGTCGAATTGGATGTCCGTTGCCTCTCGGTAGAACTGGATATCCTTGGTCTTCTTCTTGTTGCCCCATACAATGTGGTCCTTCAGGTGAATGTGTATTATCACGATCAACTCGTGTTGGCAAGGCTGGAAGAAGAGATGGCGGACGTTGGAGAAGAGAATATCAACCCGCTGGCTGCCGTGGAGAGGCGAGGTGTAGCGGATACCATTCTGATGGATTTCCACCTTGCCGGGAACCCGCTTGCCTTCGGTTGCTGGGCGAATAAAGACGTTATCGAGCACAGCCGGTCGACGATCTGAAGTGATGTGTTAGCGATGTTAAGTTTTAATGTATCATATGTTGGAGATGAGGGCAAGGAAATAGAAAAGAAAAAGGAAAGCAAAGAGGAGAGAAAAAAAAAGGGGGGAGAGATGGGGAGAAATGAAAAACTTACTCCTGATCTCGACCAGCTTGTCCTGCTCCACAACATCCTCCATCTCCTTCTTCTCTTGCTCCTTCTTGACCACATCACGCTTCATGTTTGAAATCTGAAGGGCGATTTCCTCGTACCTATCTCCATCGGTGGAGCGGAAAGTCAGGCTTCGGAGGAAGTGGGCGGTGGCATCCTCAAAAGGCTGGTCATCCTTCCGACCCACGCCCTGGCCCGGGGAGAGGAAGTTGACACGCAAAAACGACCATTCGCCCTCGTCGCTCTTGCTCGCGTTCTTAATGGTGTTGATGTGGAAGGGAACGGGGCGGCCCATGACCGGAAGCACGACGGTGTTGTTCTTGGTATCCACCACGACGGACAGATCCCGCACCTTGGGGGGAAGCTGGTTGTCGCGCTTGTACGACTCGAAGCGCTTGAACTTCTTCACTTCGGTGCCGTTCTTTGCCCCGGTCGACTCGGCGAACCGCTTCAACCCTTCCTTCTGCTTCTTCGCAGCAAGCTCCTTCTGGTGTTCTCGGCGTCTCTGTTCCGCAGCCTCGTCGGGCTGCGCGTTCCGCTCCGATCGCAATCTCGTGGAGGTGATGTTCTTCGTGGCAACGGCTCCCACGCGGGAGTCCTTCTTCTCCTTCTTGGGAGTCGCCACGGCCTCTTCCTCGCCCTCGAAAAAGAAAGAGCAGGCGTCGGCGGTGGTGGGCGACTCGCCGGTAAAGACGACAGCGTCGGCCGAGGTGACGCGAATCGTGTCAGTGAGGAGCATCGAGTACTTCTTGCTATACTTATCTTGGGGCTGCGGGTTTTCGACGTCGGTGAAGCCCGTGGTCACGACCAAAGTCATGCCATCCTTCAGAGTCCTCGTGTTCTTGGCGCTGATGAGCAGAGTCGAGTCGCGGTTCTCGAGGCCGATACCGTAGCCGACATTTTTGAGGAAATGCTTCTCGAGATCGGGCTTCTTGGCCCTAATCAGGCCCAGGGCCTTGGCGTAGACGTCCCTAGCGATGACGCCGTCCCTGATCTCCTTGATGATCAAGTTGTGGATGTTGAGCAGGAGCCTGTAGGTGCTCTCCTGGGATTTGTTGGGGTCCATGAGATAGGTACGCGCAATGGCCGAGCAGTACGACTTGTAGCGCAGGCCCATGTTGGCGATGATGATGCCGGGGTGGAGGTTCTCGTCGTTGCTCTCCACGCCCATGCGGAGATCATATTGACCGCCGCTCTGTACAGTTGGGCCCATGACCCAATCCAGCTGGGTGGGATCAAGATCGGAAGGCAGCCGGGTCCCGTTGGGCAGTTTCACCGTCTTCCACCAACCCTGCTCGTCAAGCTTCTTGTCGACCTTGTCGGTCAGGGCGCTATGTTTGACCTTCTTGTCATTGTCCACGATGTCGGTGATCTCCTCGAGGAGGAAAGGCGTCATGAGGCCGACACATGCCTTGGAGGCAGTCCGCATGGCTCGCAATTCCGATTCGTCCTTGATGGAGAAGGCAGCGGTGGAGAGGGCCTGTGTGATGTCGACTTCCTCAATGCCTTTGCACTGCTCGGCGAAAGTCTTCTTCCATTCGTCGACGAAGGGGCCCTTTGAAGTGTCCTTGGGGAGGACGCCGACCTTGGACTGCGCGTAGGAGGTTTCAGTCAGCCATAGATAGGCTCGAAGATAGTGGGGGTCGCAATTTGTTTCGGAGGACACAAAACTTACGCCCGCATTTTTGATGGCCGAGGTAATCTCAGTCCAAATCTTCTCGTTTTCCTCTGTATCCTTGCCGCGAACGAGTATCTTTACTGGAAAACGACCGTCCTTGAGGGGTTCGAGATGCTTGGCTAAGTTCCGGTTAGCGGGCGGGGGGGCAACGGCTGTCTGGCATTTGTGCAAGATGGCGAGTAGAAAACACCTACCTTTTTTGGCGGTTGTGACGATGTAGACGGTGTCGAGTAGGATAAGCATCAAAGTAGTCGGGAACTCGTAGCCGAGAAGCCAAAACTGTGCAGCAAGAATGTCAGCGCCCCCTTCCCAGCAACAGCACGACAATAGAAAGAAGTCCATCGGCAAATGAGGAAAGGTTCTATAAGGCACTTACATGCATGGCATTGTTTTTATGCAGTTCCGGGACCTGCTCAACCTTGCCCATCATAATGAGGATAGAGGAGGCATTGCGAAAGATGCCGCCCTCGTCGTTGTCGCGGTTACGCAGGTTGTCATTTTTCCAGGCGCTCGTCAAGTGCGAGATACGCTCATGAAAGAGCTTTCCGTCGATCTTGATCTCCGCCATCGTCGAGGGATGTTGGCGGGAAGCAAGTTGGACGAAGTGGCAGATGGGGGGTTTTGGTGGAGAGCTGTTTGCACCTCCAGCAGAAGCTGCTGCCAATTATCTTATTATTAAGGTGACGCGATTTTCTTGTCGCGTGTTTATGGGACGGGGGGAGTCTAGTCACGTGATTCACGTTCCTACTCCGTATTACACGTGTACTCAGTAAGGTAGTGACGCATGTATGCTTACCTTATATCGCGAAGCTTTCGGTCTGGAAAGAGAAGGTACTACCGTAAAGACTTAATAATTTCGGGAATAGCACTAAGGACTTAGCGCCCCGTCCCCTTAGTTTTATCCAAAATCAACTAATACGATCGCGATATATTTAAGCCGTAATATCAGGAGTCAGGATTTTCACGAGTTTCACGGAAATTAGTATAAAACACTTCTTATCCGTAATTAGTTATCCCTGATTTACTTAGTAGGAGTTAGGCCGATGTTATGCGTAGGTTACGGGCTGAAATCTTAAATATACGGGGGAAGTGGAGATAATAGTATAAGTAGCTTAGTGCTATTCCCGAAGTTGTTAAGTCTTTACGGTACCTAGGCATGCAATCGCGGGCCGGACAGGTCACATGATCACATGACCTGCCCTTCAGCAGCCAGGTTAGGTAAGTACACCGCCAAATATCTCGTTTTCCCCTCAATCATTAACATCTTTACGAGGCAACCACGACCACGACGATTATCTCATACCTCCGTATTATTATGGTGGACCATCGGCTTAACTGAAGCAGATGAACACTTCGTATATTGAGCAGCGTGCACAAAAAGTCATTGCCAGCTACCAGCATCTCCACATGACATCGCAACCATTCCCGAATCCCTACTTGGCCTGAATAATCGCCCCTATAATATCTGCCGCACGATTCAACGCAGCTTGGAAACGCTCGGCACTCTTTCGAGGACTGACACACATCACCTCGACACTGAAAGAACTATTAGCAACCATGTGCTATGCAGCTTGTGCTAGCTGGGGAGGAAAGGGGAGGAAGCGAGGGAATGGTGCAACTCACGAATCGTCATTCACCGTGTAATTCATCCACACAGACTCCGGGTCCTCCATCGTGTAGCCCGGATCCTCGGCCAGTTTCTTCTCCATCATCGTCTGCATAGTCAGCCGCGGGTAGCCCCTCTTCCACACGGGATCCGAGAACAGTTCGGGGACCTCTTCTCCACCTGCGCCCTGTTGCTCCTGGCTCATCACCTCGAGCACGTCCATGAGCCGGAAGTAGTTCCGGCCCTCGGTGCCCTTGACGATCTGCGCATTGCACTCCCGCGTCGCTGGTCTTGTGAGTGGAACGACGACCATTCTGGCGTACTGCGTCGCCTTGAAAACGCAGGCGATGGTGTCGCCCATCGTCTTGGGTATGTACAACATTGGGGCTGCCGTGGGACCGCTCGTGGGCGGTTCTATCACCGATAGCCCGGTGCTTACTTGGCGGTTTATCTTCTGGCTCAATCTCCGTACGTCTTCTGCCCCTCCTCTCCCCTCCTCTCCCCTTATTCCCAACTAACGGCTTTTTTTCCATTTTCTTTTCCCAGCTTTCGGAGCTGTTGGACTGGTCATGGTTTGCCTCGCCTTGAGGAAACCTCCGCCCGCAGTAAAAGGAGGACTACCATGGACCCAGAAGATGCGCCAACTCGACATTCCAGGGGGCTATTCTGCTGCTCGGTGCAACATCGTGTTTGAACCTGGCTCTGCAGTGGGGTGGCATTGTCTACCCATGGTCTAACGCGAATGTGTTGGCTGCCTGATCAGAATCGTTTTACTCTCGGTTACCGTTTTGTACTTACAATTCCGGGGTAAGAAAGGTTCATTCACATATCCTAGTTCGACCATTCCTCTTCACATCTTCAGGAGCCGCACGGTATCTGCGTCATGTGGCTTCATGATGCTCGTTCAGGTGGCCATAGTACTGCATTCATACTTTTGGCCCATGTACTTCCAGTCGGTCAGGAATACCAGCGCTCGAGACTCGGGCATCTTCCTACTCCCGTTGATCGTGTCCAACATCCTCGGCACGCTCTGCGGTGGCACATTCGCTTCCAAGTCGGGACACTACGTACCGCTCATGTGGATCGGTGCCCCCATCTTGGCCGTCGGAGGTGGTCTGTACCAGCTCATCCACGCCGACAGCCCGCGCGGAGAGTGGATGGGGTTCCGGATTCTGTCCCGGTTCGGCTACGGCATCTGTGGCCAGATGTCGATCCTGGCGGTCCAGGTCGTCCTCAACAAAAGCAGACATACCGACGGGCCTCGTCACCATCCTGCTCTTCCAGATGCTGGGAGGCGCCCTGGCACCGAGCGCGGGGCAGAACCTCTTCACAGATGGACTTTTGCGCAGTCTCAACGAGGTGGGGATCGATGCTGCAGCCGTAGTGGCGGCTGGTGGAAGGCCGTTCAGGGAGTTGGTCCCCCCAGAGCGGATGAGTGCCGTCGTTGACGCGTTCAACTCTGCTCTGAGGAATATGTTCTGGGTGGCCCTGGCCGCCCCGGCCCTTGCTTGGATCGTAAGCTGGGCAATGGAGTGGCGCGGCTGCTGCCCGGCTCCAAGAGTCTCTCTACCCCCGACGACGTCGAGAGTGCGCCTACTCAAGCTCCGGCTCCGGCTCCGGCTACAGAGGTCTCGGAGAAGTGGATAGTTAGTAATAAAGTGGAAGGTTGAGGACACAAGGAAGTATGCTGGCAGCTGTTATTCCGGCTCTGGTAGTGATCAATACCCTGTCCTTCCGAGAACTTAAGGGGCCGAGACAATTCCGTACCTTCGTGCAACGTAGTTGATGCCTTGACGCCCCACATAATCCCCATGTGACTCTAATTCAGCCAATAAATGGAGGCCCTTGATGTCTACTTTGTACGGAATAGGTAATGATGCGCGTATGTATTTATATCTACGTTGTACTCGTACAAACGAATGTACGAAGTACAAAAAGGCTCGGCTTATTAAAGACAAAGGCCGACGTCAATTTCACTATGGCGGGAATATAAGGGTGGGGTTAAATCCGGCGCTAACGTTCGTCCAATTTACCTAGGTTCATCGTTCAACGGCTAAATTACCCGAAGGCTCCGTGGATGACAGGTGTGTTCTGATTCGTCAAGGATATGGACTAGGATCTCGGGCGAGAATCCGTGGCTTCCGGCAGGGCTGACATGCAGAGCCAAGGATACCAAGCAAGCCTATTCGTACTTCGTGCAACATGGTGTAGCCGTGTAAGTTCTTGATACGAAACGACATAACGGTGGTGGTTTGACCAATGTTGTCGGCCGCGGCCAGTCACCACTTACCAACAGTAGCACAAAGTGACAGACCGCATGGAGAGCCTCTGCTCCAAGGGAAAGATTCAATGATTCAACTTCCCGGTCAGGACTCAGCATGGTTCCTCCTTGGCTTCTTCGAGGGCTGGTTATGGTTGAGCAGTGGTCCTTGCGCCTTGCCTTCACCACGGAGTAAGTTTGGAAATTGCAACGCCCAGAAAACTCAACGCATACGAATTCAAGCCTTCATTGGATTAAGAACTTCAATATGAACATGCACCGTTTCATCACAAAGTTTCATTTTCAAGCCATGGGTCTCGGGAATCTCATCAGATGATATGGGAGGTTCTTTGAATTTTCAAAAAGAAATGTGCTTCTATAAAAATGTTCTAAACTGCTACTACTGCCCACACTTGGCGCCTACAATAGGGGTACCTTGAGAGGAAGGCTCGGTAATTTGGAATCCAACCGCCCTATCCACACGCCATCCAAGCTATAAATGCATACCTGTTGGTTCATGGGTATCAGAAGAAGTACTTCATAGCAAACATACACCTACGTGAGGGTATACAGTCCAAGCCAGTAGAGTACTCACGCGAGCCAAGGTGTCGTGCGGAGCGTTTGAAACCAAGCTCCGGCGTATGCAAAGGTCCAGATGGGTCGAGCCAGGCGCTCAACCATCTTACCAGTCGTGTACGGGTGTCTCCTACTCACATAGAGTTGAATATCAGAAAACCAAAGGTGCCCAGGGGCGAAGCTCTTGACGGGAGGATGTCCTGAATAGACACCTTCCATGCGCGGTCGAATACCCATCCAGTTAACACGACGTCGTCGGCCGTGTTCACGACCCTACGGCCGATGACCTCATGCGTGTATGCGTCGGCGAAGCACTCGTCCTGGAGAATGCTTGCACGGATGAGCAAGGTTCGTGCGGAGAGGCACCAGCAGCCCCGTTCCGCGGCGAAGTGAACCTCACGGGAGCCCTTCCACTGATACAAGTCGAACGCAGCAGTGGCTTCCCACGTTGTAATGACCCGTTCATCTTGGCGGTCGGACGGGATCTCAGCACTATGTTTCAATCAAATCATGAACTTGTTAAAACTTAACAGTTAGGCCGGGCCTCGATAACTGAAATAGGCTGGGGGCGAAACTGACCTTTGTATACCGGCAACCGCGCCCACCTCAGTGTCCTCAAACGGAGCCAAGAGGTAGGGGACAGTGCTGTCGACGCGCGAATACACATCGTCGTCCACCAGAGCGAGGATTCTGCCGCGAGCCGCCTTCACGCCGATTACGAGCTGGTAACGTTTATTGGCCAGGGGCGCACACAGCATTAGGATCTTGTCCCTATCCTCCTGGAGCTGCTCGACGCGAGCTGCACAACACGGTCCTTGTTCCGCTCGACGGTGACGATGATGATCTCACGAGGCTTGGACTTGAGCCAGAGGCGCATGTACTCGGTGAATGTCGACTCGGTGTCGATTGTTGGAACTATAATGCTCACGTCTCCGTGGTTGCAGCTTGGATTTTCGGGCAAGGGCACGGGTTGGTACTTTTTGACGTCGTGGGATATGACAGCTTTGTCGTAGACACTCCAGGCCCTGTGAGATCATCGTCATCAGTTTCCTCGTAACACTAAGGGTGGTGTAACTAAGGTGTAACACGAAACACATGTACCAGAGTGCTCCTAGAGCCAATGCCATTTTCAGATGTCAGTTTGATGACGATAGGCAGTTCAATACGCAAGACCTCAAGTGCGGCTCAGAAGGACAAGTCTTTTTGCGCGATCGACCTCTAGGGGTTACAACTTACCTGTAGCCCACCATTCATCAAGTTGGCTGAAAGAAACGCGCCCACCCCTGACTTGAGCCATCCGGCGGGTTATTATCTCCCCCGCACAGCAGCCGGTGGGGTTTAAACAGCCCATCCCATGTTGGATTGGTGGTGGACGGCCTGAGGAATTCATCGATACGTTCTATGTATAAGTCTTACTAAGGTCACTGAGCAGTTTCGGCTTAGGGTTTAGGTCATTGGTCAGACGCAGAAGTTATATTCTGGCATAGCCGGTCCCTGTGCGGCGCAGCGATATACTTCGTAGTGCGGACCAGGAGTAATTGAGACGGAGTCTGCGTTGTTGTGCAGCTGGTTGTGTCGCACAGGACTCTTAAGTAGTCATCTTAGTTAGCTTAAAGCTTAACAGAGGCTCCCTCTGTGCTCTCAGCCTGTGATATCACTGGCCGAACAATGGCCAATGCATTGCATACGGCATGCCCATCCTACGCCGTGTGACATAGACGCGCGTAAGGGCGTAAGGGTACAGGATTCGCAACACACAGATCACAACCATGGATGGTATGAAGTCGTGCAACTGTATGTCTTAGGAAAGGGGGCGCCCTGCCGGGCCGCCCCGGGGGGCGGGGTCCGCGTGGAATGGGTGCCGGGGAAGGGCGGAGAGGGAGAAGGGGGCGTGGGGGTGGGGAGACCGTTGACCGGTGACCGGTGACCACCCCCAGACTGTAGACCCCCAGACTCCCTCCCGTAGGCCGACTCCGTAGCCAATAGCTTTTATTAACTTCCATCCGGGCCAGATGCACAAGGGATAGAGAATGATTCAATGAAGCCAGCT